GGCTCCACCCCCCCCCGGGAGTGGGTGCTCCCAGCCCCTCCTGCTCCCCCAAGCCTTCCCCTAACTGGTGTAACTGGTCCTGGGCGTCGCAGGTGCCTGTGGGGCTGGAGAGGGGGGGTGCCTTCATCTCCCAGCGTGGCTGGGTGAGGTTTCAAAGCCACCATGCACCTGCATCGCCGCTTCGGCCAAGCCTTGGGGTTCTCCAGGAGGCCCTGAAGCCCTGGAGATGCTGCTGGCAGCACCCCAGCCCCATGGGAGGGGACGGTGACCCGGTCCCGGTCCTTCCCTCTTTGGTGGCTCCGGCAATCTGTGCCCATGAGTTGGGGCAAAGCTGCTACCTCAAGGTGTGGGGCCATGGTGGTGGCCCGAGGATGGGGAGATGGGTGTCTGACGGAGGCGGGGGGGGCTGGAGGGTGTCCGGTCAGCGTGTTGAAACACGTCCCCAGCCTGCTACCTGCCAGGGCTTGCCTGGACATGCTGGGACTTGCCTTGTGGTGAGGTCACCCTGTTTATGTGCTCCGCCTGCCAGCTCCAGCCCCCCAGCAGCGTACCTGGGAATGCCCCCCTGGGGGGGTTGGATTTGGGCAGAAATCCTCCCTGCAGGAGGCTGAACACCCCGCCCTGGGGATGTTTAGGGGTGCAAGCTTGGGGGTCTGCTGTGGCGCCAGCTTTGGGGGTCCCAGATTGGGTGGGCAATGACAAAGCTGGCTTCCAGGCAAGGATTTTATTTCTGAGAATCCTTTTTTTTTAAAAAAAACAACAGATTTAATGAGTGCATCTGTCCAAGGGATGGGGGTCAAGCCTCAGCTCCTCCCCCTCTGCTCTGCCCCAGTGAGGCCCCATCTGCAGTGTGTCCAGTTCTGGGCTCCCCAGTTCAAGAAAGATGAGAGAGAGTCCAGCACAGGGCTACGAGGATGATGAGGGGACTGGAGCATCTCTCCTATGAGGGAGCTGGGCTTGTTCAGCCTGGAGAAGAGAAGGCTGAGAGGGGACCTCCGAAATGCCTCTAAATATCTGCAGGGTGGGTGTCAGGAGGACGGGGCCAGACTCTTTCCAGTGGTGCCCAGCGACAGGACAAGGGGCAACGGGCACAAACTGAAGCACAGGAAGCTCCAGCTGAACACGAGGAAGAACTTCTTCCCTCTGAGGGTGACGGAGCCCTGGCCCAGGCTGCCCAGGGAGGTTGTGGAGTCTCCTTCTCTGGAGATATTCCAGCCCCACCTGGACACGGTGCTGTGCAGCCTGCTCTGGGTGACCCTGCTTGGGCAGGGGGTTGGGCTGGGTGACCCACAGAGGGCCCTGCCAACCCCGAACATTCTGTGAATCCCAGAGCGTGGTTTGCTTTGCTCTGGTAAGGAGGTTCCTCAGAACCGTGGGAGGTATGAGGGATCCGTTGGCCCCACACATGTCCAAGGGGGAGGACTGCTCCAAAGGAAGGGCTCTGCCACTTGCGGTGGAGGTCAAGGTCGAGTCTTTTGCCACCAGCTTGGAAAAAACCAAAGAGGGTTCTGTCTCTGGTTACTCAACAGCTCCTTGCAGATAAGGAGAGTGGTTAACTGAGTGGTCAGGCTTGTGGCATGTTCTGGCAGTTGCTGAAAAGCCTCCCTTGTCGCCGGGCCTGGGTTCTCGAGATGAAGAAACTGGCCAGAAAAACATCCGGTTGCTTCACTTGCCCGTGTGCCAGCTTGCCTTGTGTCTGGGAGGAACTGGGACGGTGGCGGGGTTGTGGATGGAGCTGGTGGCGGCATGGGGATGCCGGATGCTCTGCCCCAGCGGGGCTTTGCCTGCTGGAGGAGGAATGGCGAGCGTCAACATCTGCACCTTCCCCGTCCTTCTGCATCGCGCTGGGCTGTGTTTGACCTCAGTCGTGCTCAGGCCTCTGCCCAAGGCGCTGATAAAATCCCCAGTGTCTGAGTCCAAGATGAGCCCTGGCAGATGGGGGTTCCCTCTGGGCTGCCTCATTGCAGAGCCCAACCCAGCTCATCCCACCTTGCCGACTGCCCGCTTTGCCCTGGTAGCGAATGCGCCAGCCCTTGCGCTTGCTCATGGCTTGCCCAACACCCCAGTAACTCGTTCTGCTTTCCTCCCAGCCACTGCAATGGCCTTGTCTCAGAGCAGGGCTGGCCAGATGCCGTGCAGCAGCAAGGTGTGCAGAAACCTCTTTGGCCCCGTGGACCACCACCAGCTCCAGAATGACTTTGAGGACCTGTTGAGGCAACACCTGGAAGAAGCTCAGCAGCGCTGGAATTTCAACTTTGAGACGGAGACTCCTTTGGAAGGACAGTTCAAGTGGGAGAGAGTCTTCCTTGCTGAGCAGCCACCCCAGGATGTCCACAGCCTGGCCGAGGCCACCAGCAGTGAGAGCAGGAGCTCCTTGGTCCACAAGGTCCCCTCCACAGACCGTCTTGGCACGATTTGCCCCAAGGGGTCTCAGCAGAGCTCAGAGGTTTACAGGGCTGGTTCTCTGCAGAGCTTGAAACGTGGGCAGACCACCATCAAGGGTGAGTGCTGGAGGCTTGGTGTCACTCCATGGGTGCTTGCTGGCATTGTTGGTGTCATGGCTCTCCTGGTGGGGACAGATGGTGGGAACAGATGGAGGGGACTTGGGTGCAAGAGCCCTGCCTGGCTCCTGAGCATGGGAGGGACCCCCCCTTCCCATGCATCTCTCTCCTGGAGGAGCAGAGCCCTCCTTCCAAGGGGAAAAGGCTGCAAACTGGGTACCTTTTGGTTGCTAGGGGTTAGGCAGGGGGCTTATCTCAGGCTTGTGGGTCTTATAGCTGAAGATACCCCCAGATAGTTTGTCACCTTCATTTCCCAGTCTGAATCTGTCCTCTAAGATCAAGGCCTGGAGTGGAAATGGAGGTGAGACCAAACAGAAGAGATGGAGGTTCTTCTCTCCAGGCACTTTGGGTGGGCGGGTGGCCCTAAGCTGGAGCCCACCTGGGCTGGGTTTTGGGGGGCTTCCCTGGAGACACCTCCCTCTTCCTGCCCCACTGCTCCCACCAGGCTGGAGACACTTTCCAACCCTCTCTTTCTGCCCTCCAGACTTCTACAGCTCCAAGCGGAGGATCGTCCCAGACAAGCCCAAGCCGTGACCTGGTGGTGCTCAGCTCCTCTGCCGTTGGGGACAGCTGCCCATGCTGCCGTGCCCTGGGGTTGTCCGTGGCTCTTCTCCCCACCCTGTCTGTATGAAGCAATGTAGAGTCTGTAGTTCCCTATTTATGAGTAGCCCTGGGGTCCTGAGGGACCCTCACTGTGTGCAATGTGTAGGAGTAGCCTGCGTTGAGGCTTGTAGCCCCACGGAGGGGGTGGAGGAGGACTGAAACGGACCGGTGGGACTAAGGCTTTGCCCTGCCTTCAGAGAAGAAAGAGCATGTCCTGCCCTGCGGTGGTGGGGCCAAGCATCGGCCTTGCACCATCCCACTGCCCTGCCATGGTACTTCCCCAGCCTGATGGCTGGCCACGGAGGACACTTGTGTCCCAGCTACCTGGTGATGCCAGGTATCCATAAGGAAGGGTCACCGGTATGGATTGCAGAGCCCTGGGACAGCCTGGCCCTGAGGACACCCTGGCTGCTGGTCCTCTTCCCGGCAGGATGGACCCAGCGGTGTCAAACCCTCATCCATGCGTGGAAGCGGAGTGACGTGGGGGCTGCTCCTTCCCACAGCTGCCGGGGAGAGGAAATGCTGTTCCCTGGACAGCCCTTCCCTTGGGTGACTCACCGGTGCTGTCACCCGTTGGAGACAGGCTGCGGACGGTGACAAACTCGCTGGAGGTCCCCAGTGCTGAGCTCCATGTGGGACCAACGCTGCCTGGGAGGCTTTGGGGTCCCCTGGACCCAAACCCCCGCTTTCTTACCTTGATGTTGGCTTGCTGAGTGGTGCCCCCATGTTCCTGCCTCCAACACTGACACCGGGCTGGGGAGCTGCCTGCCCTGGCCATGTTGGGCTGCTCTAGGAAGGAGTCCTGCTCACCAGCAAGGATGACACCGAAAGAAGTTGTAGCTTTTTTTCCTGGACATTTTTTCCTCTGGGGCTGGAGGAGAGAGGACCCTCTCTTGGCTCTGTGGAGCGAGTGGCTTTGGCCACCTCTGGGATGTCCTGGAGCAAAGGCTGCTTGGTCCTTCAGTGCTGAAGGATGAGTCTCTGCTCTTGAAGGACTCAACACTGTCAGGTCTCAGCACTTTTGTGGGGTTCATCTCCTGCTCTGCCAGATTTGGACTCTGGAAACTGGTGCAAGATGGTCCCAGGCAGAAAAGGGACAGGATCGACCTCCTGCCTTGCACCACGATGCACTTTGCTGTCAGTGAAGCTGGCAAACTCCCAGCACTAAATGTTTATTTATATTTAAAAAAAATGCTATTAAATCTATGTGTGTGGGAAGGGGAAATACCTGTTTGTCTCTAGATGTTAACTCTGAATAAACACTTGTGGAAGGGAACTGGTGTCTCTGGTTAATGGGAATGACTGTGCTGGGTGTGGGTTCTGGCTGTGGGGAGGAGGATGCTCTGGTCTGGGTCCCTGCCTGGCTCTGGGGGCTTGGGGGTCCCTCTGGGGGTGCAGCCCTGGGCTGGGAGCTGCTGTTGGGCTGGCTGGGAGCAGGGCTGGCTGCTGCACAAACCCAGCTGTGCCCTGTGCGATGGCTGCAGTGTGAAGCAGGGAGTGTGAGGGCTGAGAGGGACTGAAGCTCACCACGACGCCTGTTCTCAACCCTGTTCCTTGGGACAGTGGCCTACTGTGGACCTGGGTGCAGGATTGGTGCTGCCACCGTGTCCTGAGCAGCTGCTGCCTGTGTGGGATCTCACTGCAGGGACTCTGGTGTGAATGTTGGCTCCTCTGCTGCCCACCCCATTCCCCCTTCCCCACTGTGACCCTGGTCCTCTACCCCTAGCCCCCAGGACACTGTCTACTGGGGCAGGTGGCCGTTAGCCGTGGGCAAGCTGGTCACATCCCCCCCTTCTCATTTAAAGGTGTCCTGGGTGCCCTGTGTTGGGGGACAGGGACGTGTAAGAGCACGTGGTGGCACTGCTGATGGAAACATGCAGCAGCAAGTCCCAGGTGGGGACGGGACGGGAGCTGCTGCATGCCAGGGCTGAGATCCCCTGGGAGTCAGGGATGCCTCAACCATCAGCTGCGTCCTCCGAGGGCTGAGTAAGGCTTGGACATGGACTGTGAGCTCGAGCTACATTTAATGGGATAAATGACCTCATTTGCAGAGGATCCAAGGGAAAAGAAAGTTTTGATGGTAGCAACCTTGTTGTGTCATTGTTCAACCGAGGATCCCGAAAGCGTCTGCCTGTCCCTGTAGCGTTGGTGACGCCCGGGCATGCCGATACCCCTTGAAATGCTTGCGGAGCACAATCAGCTGCTGCTGAGTCAAGCCCTACGGATTTAGCCCTTTTAATCTTCCCCCTTACGTCAGCCCTTGCAGCCCTCTTGGCCGCTGCCAGCTGCTCCCCTCTGCTGTCACCTCCCGTTGGTCAGGAGCGGTGGCGATGGAGGAAGCAAGAAATAAATCAGCAAATACCTCCTCATTCGTGTTTGCGGGGCTCTGAGGGCAGCCAGGGTCTGGCTCTGCTGTGCAATAGGGACCTCGGCACCGGGGCTTGAGTTTTGCACCCCTTGGGAGACCCCAGCCCACACCGCATCTCCTGGGTTGGGGGACACAGCTTTGGGGACACGAAACGGCGATGGGCTTCCAGCAGCTGCGGAATGGATGGAAACCTTCTGCTTTCAAGCCCAGGTTGTTTGCTGCTCTCCCATGCCAGCCTGGCCCCAGCACAGAGCGAGGATGTTGGGGTTCAAACTCCCAAACTGGGCTGGGAGGAGGGTCGGGTTCTCCCCCTCCTTTCCCCACTATACTCAATCCTCTTTTGCAGAGACCTGCCGAGCATCTCCTCGGGGCTGGAAAGGGCCATTGCTGCTGTGGGGCTGGATCCTCACCCTCTGCCGCCGGAGCCTTGCTGGGCCAAGGGCATGAATCAATGAGCTCTTCCAGGGATATTTAGGGTTTTCCCCCCAAAAGCATCCTCAAGGAGAGCAAAGCCAAAATTCAGCCTTCTTTGTACAGCGGCAAACAGCCGCAGGGTTGCGAGACGGAGCGACAAAGGTGAGCTTGGAGGTGGTTTTTGCAAGCTCAGCACCCCAGCCCAGCCATGGGGTGGCTTCAGTCTGGGGTGACCGGCACCAGCTTCGCTTGGAGAGCGGAGGAGAAACAGCTGAGCCCTGACCTGGCCTGTGGATGCCCAGGTGCTGCTGCTTTGTTAGGTTAAACAGCAAACGAGCAGGGCTGGGCTGTGGTGGGGTGGGTGTGATGGGGAAGGCCACCTGCGAAGCTGGTTCCCAGCAGAGGATTTAACTGGCTGGGATGGGGAGAGATGAGCAGGGCACTGGGCTCCAGGCCATGGCTCCTGCCCCAGGAGTCCAGGCTCAGAGCCATGCTGTGAGCCAGGGGGTGTTAATTCTAGGTGTGACCTAAAGGTAATCGTTGGTGTTTCCCCTTGTTGTTATTTTAAGCTCTTGCTTGGGATTTTTTCCCATTTTGCAGTTGAAGTGAAGCAAAAAATGCGTGCAACCTGTCCAATTCCCCTGCCCTCTCGCAGACCAGGGTGCTTGCGGGCCATGGGCAGCCGGTGGGTTTGGTGCCGGCTCTAAAGCTGAGTCGATAATTCAGGCAGGAGCCTGGGAAAAAGCATCGGTGTGAGCAGCATGGTGGGGGAGATCTCCAAATCCCGGGGCCAAGGAGCCTCTGCAGCGGGGTTTGCAGGGTTGTTCTGTCTTGGTAGGATGTTATAATCTGGGGTAGTTTGGGTATAATCTGGTAGTTTGGGTTATTTGGACTTTCAAAATAACATTTGCTGTTTCTCTGATGCTTTTCCCCTGCCCCAAACACCTTCCAGCCTTGGCCGGCCCGTTGCAGGCATGGAGACGATGGGGACCTGTGCTGTGGCTCCTGATGGCAGCGGCAGTGCCCTTGCTTTGGGATCAGGGGGGCTTGGGGGGATGGTGACCCTCCGGA